AGAGGGCAGGCGAGGACCCCTCTGCACCGGCCACCTGCCGGTGACGTAGAAAGGCCCGCATCACGCGAGCTTGGGCGAGTCCAGCACCATGGGGCAGCGGCGCAGGGAACCCGCCTTTCCCATCTGATGTCCGCATCATGTCGAAGGAGATCCTGCGGGCTCCGTGCAGCGGGAGAGCCACCACCTGGGCTGGTTCTTCGGCACTCTGGCCCAGAAATGACACCTCTGCTCACAGCCGTCACATGGCCCCAGACAGCTGCAAGGGAGGCTGGGATGGGAGCCCAGGGCTGTCCCCTGGGTGAATGGCACTGCCCAGCCACTCACTAGTCCAGGGGCTGGGTGGCCAAGCGGAGGAGGGGGAGTGGGCAGCAGGCACTGGGACGCAGGTGGGCGCCGGGCTTTGGAGAGAGTCCTGGGCTGGACCTGAGCATGGCCAGGTGTGGCCCTCTGGGCTGGGTGACTCGAGCAAGCCCCCGAGTGACTCAAGCAAGCTGCTTGGAAGTCTGAGGCGGAAGGATCACCTGAACCCAGTGGATTGAGGCGGCGGTGGCTGGGAGCGTGCCACTTCACTCCAGCCTGGGTGACAGTGAGACTCCAACTCATATAAAATAAAATGTCAACCAGTGTCTAATACTGTAACTATAAAACCAGGCAGGACGGGTGGGCAGAGGCGGGGGCTAGGAACGCCAGCTGAGCTCCTGTCCAGCGTCATGAGCCCGTGGGGAGGGCCGTCCACACTTCAGGAAGGTCTGCATCTTCTCGGAGTCCCAGCCGCCCTGACTCGCCCCCTGCTCCTGTCTCCAGGGTGCGGCAGTCCATCCCCTGCTTTCTACGCTGCCCACCCAGGAGAGACACTGCCCAGGGCCGGGCCTCCCTGGGGCAACACGAGGCAGGTGCATCCCAGAGCGAGGCTCTCCTTCAGTCCAGGCCAGGTGTGTGCCCCCCACAGGGCACAGGGGGCCTGTCTACACGCGGGGGCCCTGTGCTCCCTCCTCCCCGGAGCTCTGCCCACCGTGGCTTCCCGGCGCTGGGGCCTGGGATGCCCCTGATCCCAGGACCAGGGCCCCTAGGGGAGTCTTCCACTCTCGGGGTCTCTGGGGCTCCCCAGGCTGAACAGACCCACAGTGGCTCCTCGCCCAGCCCCCACCCAGCCTCCCACCCGGCCCCGCCAGCCCCTCACCCCAACAAAGCCTGTAGCCCCCTGAGTTAATCAAAGCTCGTGCAGTCCTCCTCTCAGGGCTTCCCCCGAGGCCACTATGTATTGGGCAGATTAATTGCAGCGGGGGAGGGGAGCAAGCCCACGTCAAAGCATGGCGGCTTCCAGCAGGAGAGGGGCGCTTCTGGCTGGGAAACTGCTGAGCTGGCAGCTTGGGCCGCCTGCTCCGAAGACCCTGCGGGCTGTGCCAGCTCCGAGGAAGGCGGCCGGCCTGCAGCCCTCCCAGGGCCGGGCCCGTCCTCCAGAGCTCTGAGCAGACAAGGGTCGCCCCAAACCGGCCCCCCACATCCACGACCGACCTGCCTTCCCTTGCCCGCACCCAGAGGGCCCCGCGCCCCTGCCTGTGGCTCAGGGGCAGCCTGGGCTGGAGCAGCTGTGTGGGACCCGTGACGGCTGCCACGCGGGTGGCACGTCGGTGCGGCGCCCTCGCAGTCCCGCTGTGGCACGGACTCTTCCGGGTGCTTTCTCAGGAACTCAGTCCTGCTCCGGGAGGTGGGGTCCCCGCTTTACGCTCCCGGGGGAGCTGCAGAGCGGCGGTGACGCCCAGCGAGCACCCAGAGCCAGGCCACCTGACTCCAAGCCTCGCCCATCACGCCAGCCCCGCCCCACACACGCGCACCTCAGGGCAACCAGGAGTGCCGTGGAGAACCGCAGACTCACAGAAGGGCCCCGTGGGCTGAGTTGGGAGCTCAGGGCCCCGGGAAGCCGCCGCTGGGGTCCTCAGCCAACCACCCGCTCGCTGGAGGGCCCGCATGCCCCTTGGCAAGGCCGGGCGCATGACCCGGGCGGGCCTTGGTGTGCTCCAGCGACTCGCGGGAGTTGTGTCAGCCACGCGGCAGGCACCTCGGCGTGGTCCTCCCAAACCGGAAGCTGCTTGGGAAAAGCATGCACCACCAGCAGCCCCCAGGCCGCCAGAGGCCGGGAGCCTGCGGGGGCAAGACCCCTCACTGGCCAGTGTGGATGTGGTCAGGTCTCCAAGGCTCCCCGTCTGTGAAGTGGGTGGTAATCGTGGCATCTCCTGCAGTCGGGGTCGCATGGGCGGGCCCGGCATGGGTACTGAGCGACCCCCCCAGACTTCGGGACGCACTAGTGTCGGCTCCTGTCATCATCGTCATTGTTCCAGCCAAGCTGCGCCTGTGAGTCTGCTTGCCCTTCCGTGTTCGGGGTCAGCCCTGAGCACCCGCAGGGGACCGTCAGGGCAGTGCGTCCCACCGGAGCTCCTGAGAAGGCCCCAGGGCACCAAGACTCACCCGTCGGCAGGGCAGCCGGAACCCCACACCGCCCTCTCTCGCTACAGCGGACATATTTTTTTTTTTTTGAGTTGGAGTCTCACTCTGCCACCCACACTGAGTGCAGTGGCCGCTCCCGGCCACCGCAGCCTCGACCTGCTGGGCTTCGGCGATCCTTCCGCCTCAGCCTTCAAAGTAGCTGGAACTACAGGCGTGCGCTACCATGCCCGCCTAATTTTTGATTTATTGTAGAGATGAGGTCTCGCCAAGTTGCCCAGGCGGGTCTCGAACACGCGAGCTCAGGCAATCCACTCACCTCAGCCTCCCAAAGGCGCAGGATTACAGGCTGAGCCTGGCTTACGGCGGACATATTAAAAGCCAAGCGGCTTCCTGGATGAGGTGAGGCCTGACAAGGAGGAGGAGAAACATGAGGAGGAGGAGGGTGAGATCACAGAAGTGGCTGCTCAGTCCTTGCTGTGAAGCAGTCAAGACACCTAGGCCCGTGTTGCCCGTGTCTTGGGACAAGCGTCTGGTGGGTGGGGCCCCAGGCAGGCAGGCAGAGGCAGACACTGGAGGCCACTTGGACTAGAAGCAGGAACACCCAGAGACTGCCGGGCCCTGAGTGAAGCCATAGAGGCGGGGAAGAGCAAGGAGCCTGCTGTGGGAGACCCCTGCCTTCACAGCTTGGGGCTGAGGAGGTGGGTGGGACCCAGCGCTTCACTGGCAAGGAGGGGAACTCACCCCCGCCTGGGGCCGTGGTGGCATCCACGGGCAGGGGGAGGAGCCGTCCCAGCCAGGCTGCTGCTTGGAGGGAGGTGGCCTGAGCAGAGTCCCGGAAGGATCTAGAAGATGCTGGTCCCCCCACACCCTGCTGACCGTTGCGGGGCATGCCTCGTCCTCCAGCATGGCTGGAGAACACTGATGGGGTCTACCATAACCCTCTTGATGGGACACGGACCAAGGAGCCAAGGAGGTGCCCCCGTCTAGAGTCAGACCCCGACCTCCCTGACCGGTCCAGGACCTCAGGCAAGTCGTTAACATCTCAAGGTCTCCAGAGGGTCCCTGCGGGGAGGATTAAGTGACCACCCCCGCAGGTGCTCATACCCCACGCCGGGTACCCAGGGAAGCCCCGTATCACCAGGGAGTGCCCAGCATACCGGCGCCCGTCAGAGCCAGCTCCAGTGGTCGGACCCTCCAAGTAGGATCGCCTCCCCACCCCCACCCCGGAGAGAGGGCTGCACACTCATTCTGGGTTCAGAACTAGACACGGCAGAGGGTGTTTGTCCGGCTGACAACAAGCAAGAGGCTGCTTGAGAGGGAGCGAGTGTCACCTCATGTGAGCAAGCTGGCTCAGAGGACCACCTGCACTCATGCTCTGGAGCGTAAAGCATGTATTGCCAGGCGTGGCGGCCCATGCTTGTCACACCCGTGCAGTGGGAGGATGAGGCAGAAGGATCACTTGAGCCCAGGAGTCGGAGACCAGGGGTTGGAGACCCATAGTGAGACCACTTATCTATAAAAAAAAAAACCAGGAAGTTAGCCAGGCATGGAGGTGTGCACCTGTAGTCCCAGCTACTCGGGAGGCTGAAGATCACCTGACAGGGAGCCCTGATTGTGCCACTGCCCTCCAGCCTGGGTAACAGAGTGAGACCCGGATGAGCAAACACACACACACACAGACACACACACACACACACACACACACAAACCCTTGTTAATATTTCTTGCTGCACCACTGCCTTCTAGTCCTCACTCATGACGTGTTGGTGCCAGCAGGCGGTGGCGCTTTGTGTTACTTGGCAACATGACAAGCTGCCAGTCCTAAGCCAGTCTCCAGGATCTTCTGAGTTTGTACAGGCCTGGGACGCCAAGTCTGAACGGCCCCGCAGAAGTGTCTGCGAGGCTCCAAGCCCGCACACACACCCGCGAGAGCCTCCGAATCAACCATGCGGATCAGGTCACCTGGCAGCGCTCCTGGCAGGTGGCTGCAGGGACGGTCCAGGAGAGGCGTGCTGACAGCAGGGGCCACCGGCTGGGCCGGGAAAGGGGCCTGGAGCCTGTCACTAAGTCCCAGCAGATGGGAGGACACTGCTGAGACCCGGCCCCGTGACCTCTGTGGGTCTCTCTGGGTACCTGGTTCAGTCCTCGGGGGGCCCTGAGGTGGCCTAGTCCCAGGGACACCCAACCCCCTCCAGGAGACAGCCCTGCATCCATCCGTCACCCTCCTCTGGGAGGCAGCGATGGGTCAAAGTCAGGGCTCAACGCCAAGCAAGGAGCGGGCAGGAACATGGCGGACCCAGGTTCTTGGGGTGAGTTTCCCATCTGCCCCAGTCCGCCTCCTTGCCCGCCACCCCAGGGGGCCCTGGAATGTCACCCACGGGCTCCTGAGGCGACACCCGGCCAGCCACAAGAGGAAAGAGCCTAGGGCTTCCAGAACTTGAAGACTGGGGTCGCGGTCACCTCCCCTCTGTGGCCCAGCAGAGCCCCAGGCTGGGTGGAGGCTGACTCAGCGGTTCAGATCAACACCCCACCCTCCAGCAGAGGACAACAGGGAGTCAAGGATACATTTTAAAAATCGTTTAATGGAACATAAACTCCTTTAGAAAAACATTCAGCTGGGTGATAACACCCATAGAAAAAACACCAATCTCGTGTTTATCTTTTTTTAATTTGGCATTTGTTATTTGCATTTATATTAAAGCAAAGTGCATCTTTTCTTATTTTTCTTGTTTATACACATTGCACAATACATAAATAATGATGCTTATAAAACGTCTTTGTATTTACAAGTAATAATATATTTATATATAACATAAAATACATTTTCTCTTTAATAAATCTCAGGGTTTTTTTTTTTAGGAGTCCTTTCTCAAAGCACTACAATGCTAAATCTCCAACGAGAATGCTTCTCTTGTTCATTTAAACCTTTGTAGTTAGAAAAATAGCTTATGTTAAAGTCTAAACATGCTCATTGAGCTAAGAACAGTGTCAAAGTATCATACGAGTGTATGAGTTGTGGAAGGGAAGCAGTTAGGTGTCAGCCTGGGGTACCTTGGCTCGTGATGGGCCGAGGCCCGCTCGGGAGGGCCCTGCGGGCGCGTACCCAGCCCGAGCCACAGGGCAGGGCAGGGTGGGGTGGAGGAGGCGCCCAGAGGGCTTCTAATCCGGGAAGAACCTGATGCAAGAGGGGGTAGAGGACATGGGTGGGCACTGCCACAGGGTTGCCCGGCATCCCACATCCAAGAGCAGATGGCTAGAAAGAAAGACGTGACCACGCGGGGAGGGGGCCTGGGGATGATGGCCGTCATCAGGGCTCCCTGATGGGGGCCGGTTGGGGTCTCCCAGGCCGGGCAGGGCTGCGCTCCCTTGGGGGGACACCTAGATGCCACCTCTGCCCCGAGTGCGTCCCGAGGGCTGGAGACACAGGGCACAGGGGGGCCTCCACCTCTCAGCTGAGGTCGCCCGTAGAGACCCACGGAGCAGACCGTCCACACGCAGTCACACACACCCACCCGCATGCGCTCCTGGCACAAGAAATGGTGACCCAGGGTGAAGGGACTGTCCCTCCATCCGCAGTGTGTGGGCGCTCAGGGTCTGCACCCCGGCTCCATCGGGCTGTTCCACCAGCCACACCCCACCCCCTAGGGCCCCCAAATCCTTCTCATAAGCTATTTCTCAAAGGACAAAACAACACAGAAGACGAGGAGGAAACAAACAGAACCGGCCAGAGTCTGCGTGGAGCACGGGCGCGGGGGCGCTAGCAGCAAGGGAGGTGGGTGCGGCCGCCCGGCCACGCGGCTGCCCGCTACCGGCCACTGACGATGACCTCCAGCCAGCACGGGCAGCTGCTGATGAACTGGCGCGTGTAGCACTGGCCCCAGCCCTTCACGAAGCTGATCTGCACCGTGGAGCCCGTCCACGGCTGCTGCGTGAACTCGTGGTCGTTGGGCCGCCGCAGGCTGCAGGCCTTCTCATAGTCAAAGGCCTTGATGGAGAAGCCGGGGAACACCTTGTGCACCAGCAGCGTGCGCGAGTCGGGGTTGTCCAGCGTGGCGGACTTGACGAAGACGGGGTAGCTGCTGCGGTTGTACACCCACACGCCATCCGCCTCCCGCGACAGCTGGATGCCGCAGCCGATGCGGCTGCGCACCTTCCGCACCAGCTGGCTCCGGCTGCCGGCGCTGAGCTGGCCCAGGCAGAAGCCGTTGCCCTGAGGTAGGTCATAGAAGATGTCCAGGGAGGGCTCCTGGACACAGTAGAGCCGCCCCACGCGGGTCTTCTCCTCCCAGTACGCCACCACGCACCAGTGCGACTGAGCCCCGGACTCCAGGAGGAGCTGGGAATCTGCAAGACACAAGGCGGCCGCAGTGAGGAAGTGGTCTGGGGGTGGGGGAGGGGCGGGGAGAACGGAGGGCCACGGGGGACCGAGGACCCCAACGGCTCGTGGGAAAGGAACAGGGATTGCCATGCAGGGACCAACGCCTTGACAGCCACATGGTAACCAACACCCTCACCTGCTCACGGGATGACCAGCCGCGTGGGGGCCAAGGCAAGGCCCTCACCAGCTCGTGGGACGGGAAAGCGACGACCGGTGTGTCCCTCTCAGCCCCTGCACACGGGCACACGCCCACGCGTCCATCACCATGGGCGGGTAGGCACAGCTGGCCCTCTTGGTGCCCTCCAGTCCAGACAAGACTGGCCTCACGTGGGCACATTCCCCTTCCCTGACCGCCCACCCACCCCGTCAGTCTGCACAGACCCTAACCCTCTGCCCTTCCCTCCTCCTCCCCGCCCACAGAGCAAAGGGGTCACACACGAGCATGCCACCATCCTTGGGCAGAAGCCAGCCGGTCTCCCCTGGGCCCAGTCAGATGGCGGGGAGACCAAAAGTCTTGTGTTCGTTAACAAAAGTGGTGAAAGGCCGGGGAGGCACAGGGGAGGAGCCCCACGGAGGAGCCCCACAGAGGCCAGCCTCCTCTCGCCCAGACTCTCACCCTGGGGGCCTGGACAGGCACACGGTCTGGACTCTGTGTTTCTGGAGCACCTGGGCTCAGAGGCCGGTGTGATCAGGCCCCCATGCGGCTCAAGACACCAACCCCCGACCCTCCCAGGGGCTAGGCCTCAGCCCCCATCAGGCACCCCATGGACATGGCTGTGGGACGCTCACAGCGCACACCCTGAGCGGCTGCCCCCACGGACCCCCCCACTGGTCTTCCCAGAGCCCGCACCGCCAGCCACGCACAAGGGTACACAGAGGGCTCGCAGTTCCTCTAGCTCCACAAGGCAGAATGTGGCCCAGCAGTGCACCACACGTGGATGCAGAAAGGTGTGTGTGTGTGTGACTGTGTGTCAGCGCATGTGTGAGCGTGCGCCGTGGGACCATGTGTGAGTTTGTCATGGGAGCGTGTGTCCTGTGTGTGCCGTGAGAATGTGTGCAAACCCATGTCATGGGGGCGTGTCTGTGTGAGTGCAGGACACGACAGCGTGTGTGTCGTGTGAGAGTGGGCGTGCCATGTGTCCTGGGCTCACGTGTGCTGGAACACACGGAAGTAAGTGGCCAAGGGAGGCAACTTGTTGACATCAGCCATCCCTGCATGGCCAGGAGACACGGCCACCACGGTGCCCTGGTTGCCCAAGGCCACACGGAGGGCAGAGTGTGGGCTCGGAAGCTGGCACCCGGCCACTGGCACACAAACGGCACCACGCCTCGCCCGTGGGTCCAGGGTCCACGAGGGCCCAGGCGCCACCCCGGCTGCCTCATCCCATCCTTCCCTCAGGCCGACTCTCAAAGGTCAACAGCCCGGCCCTGCTCCCTGCCCTGGCAGGAAACTGCTGTTGTGAGATCGACGGCCTTTCAGGGACGGCCTTTCAGGAACAAGCCCTGAGATAAGAGGGGGCCGGGGCCAAGTCACGTCAGCCTCCCCACCCCAGTTGCCACCACAGCTGAGACCCCCACGGGGCCCATTTCCAAGGCAAATGCCCCAAATGGAGCTTGTCAGGCACGCAGCTCCCCAGGGCTTGGCCAGCTCCACTCCGCCATGCCACAGCCTCCCTGGGCTAGGCGCAGGAGCCCAGGCCGCTGGATCCCCAAGGAAGCACAGATGGCCCTGGGCTTGAGCCGGTCACTCCTGGAGGCCGAGTTCTGCCAGGGTGTTTCAGGTTGCTCAGAAGCCATGGCCACCAGCCCACGACCCCTCCCCCGCAGTCAGGGGAAGAGGACCCCAGTCGCTGAGGCAGAACCGGAAAGCTGGATCACCTACAAGCCCTGTGACACTCCGCTGAGGTGAGGCGGCTGGACCAGTGTGGGGAGAGGGTACCCAGGGTCTCCTCCAGGGACCAGGGTGCTTCTCTCCGGTCCCTGGACCTGGCCACCTGAGTTCCGGCCTTCAGGGGCTCCAGCCTGTGCACACCCGTGGGTGAGCTGTCTGGCACTGCAGCCAGACTTGCTTCTGGCCTGCTTCCTGCGGGCCACCAGCCCGGCCCTGCACCGGGGTCCTGATGCTGGCCTCACAAGACTGCCGTGAGGCTCTGACGTGAGCACTGTCAGGTCCGGGCCCGCTGTACACACACTGGATTCACTCTGAAGACCTGCTCTTGGGGTCTCTGTGGCTGGGAAATCACACTGCCCCACCCATGGAGAACAGCCTGGGGCTCACACCTGCCCTCCGGGGTGTTCCCCATACCAGCCCTGTGTGAAACACCTGGACCACCCTGCGGCCCCACGCCACAGCCGCCCAGCCTCAAGGAGGGACGAGGGGCACACATCCACCAGCGGGCAGAGCTGCGACTCCAGCCCCAAGCTTCGCACCAGGGTGCTCCGGGTGCACAGCAGAGCTGCTGTCCCCCCACCTTCCTCTCCAACACTGGAGGGACACGCACATGTCCCTCAGAGCATGCCTGGAAATGCCAAGCCTGCCGTGAGGGCCGAGCGCTCCCAGCAAGAGGTGGGTGTGGACGGGCCCGAGCCTGTGAGCTGCTCTGTGGCCCTGGCAAGGGGGCTGCCCTCAGGCCTGTCCTGCCCATACATGCCACAAAGGGGTCCGGGGATGATAGCCTCGGGCCTTTCTGGCCCTGGCAGCCGTGGCTGCACCCTGCTCGCCATGGCACTGTTCACAGCAGAAAAACACTAGGAGGACAGGCACATTTTTGCATTTGATTTGCAACGGTAAAACAAAACAAAACAAAATCCCAAGGGAAAGGACTTTGAGTCAGGCTCTGCTGTCTCCAAACCAACTTTTTACTTCTGAGAGTTACAACTTGAGTTCTGTATCCTGCCATTCCTCACCCCAGAAGGTGGGTCCCTGTCAGAGGGACCCTCGCCACCAGGCCCTTCCAAGCCCGCCAGGCTCGGTGCCTAAGAGAGTCCCCTATAAACCATCCCCAGCGCAGATCCCACTGGCCCAGAGCAGGGCTGAGTGACTGCGCCCTCCCGCATCCCAAGGGACCAGTGACACCCTGGAGTGGCCCAACCCACCTCTCCAAGCCCCCGCAGGCGCCCGAGCCAGGAGCCTCCAGCCCGGGGTCCCTCACAAGAGTGGCCTCTACCATCGAGGACACGCCTGGGAAGGCCCAGGGAGGGGAAGCCACTCATATCAAAAGCTCCCGCTGTCTCACCAGCCGGGCTGACGCCGCTTCCTGTGCCCGGTATTCAGCCATGCAAATTATAGCGTGCACCGCCTGCAGCCACCGCGTCCGAGGGCCACTCTGCTGAGCTCCCAGGGAGGCTCAGAGGAAGGGCGGGACGCAGCCCAGTCGCTCCGCTCACCATGTCTGCAGTCAGTGGGCCTCTGGGGAACGAGCGCCCTCCGGCCTGGCTGCTTCTCAAGTCTGCGTGTCTAGGCCTTCCCGCCATGATGCATCCCCCAGCCCCCAGGAGCCCAGGGCAACTGCTGCAGAAAGGGGGCCGTGCACATGCACCCACGGAGCCCGCAGACCCGTGAGGCCTCCCTGCCCCTGCCTCGCCCTGGAGGGCCCGAGCCGTCCTGGGGAGACGCAGGGGTGTGATGATGCGGGCAGAGCGTCCACCGTGTCCAAGAGGGCGTCCGCGTCCGATCGCCAACCTCCCCACCCACAGCCTGCCACCAGAGGTTCCCCCATCTGCCTCTGGACTTCACAGACGCTGACTCACACTCACACACACTGGTTGAAGCTGGACGAGGACCTCAACTCAGGCCCTGCCTCACGGCCGGTTTCCCAAGAGGACAGACCCCCAAGTCCGCCGGTGCTCCCTGGTGCACAGTGGGGTGCGGGCCCTCCCTGGGCAGCCCGGCTGTGGGACCCCCGGTCCTGAGGGGTGCTGTGGGCCCCACAGCAGACCCGGTCTGTGCCCACCCACAACCACAGGCCCACACCCCTCTGGAGTCCCCAGGGGGCAGGAAGGCCGCACTGAGACGCGGAAAAACACAGGAGAACAAAAGTCCTTTCAGGCCCCCACCCCCTTTCTCCACAACAGTCCTGAAACCGCCGGACGGGCGGCCCTGAACACGGAGCATTCCGGCCAGCGCATTCCAGCGCAGGGGCCGAGCCTCCTCCCCCGGGCGCGCGCCCAGCCCTCATTCCATCTCGCGGCATGGCCCAGCCCGCCCAGCTGGGGCGGCAGCCCAGACCGGCGGCCGCACTTACGGGGAAAACAACAGCACGACAGCCTGGAGACAGACTGCAGACTGCTGAAGTTAATCATTACTTCTGTCTGCCTCTGTAATCTAATCTCTCCCGCCTGGACTCGCTTGTTGCCCAGGGCTCCTGGACCTCGGCCTCTCCCTCTGCCAATCTCCAGCCTCCAGCCGGGAGGCCACGGAACCAGGGGGACGCACGGTCTCCCACTGGGGCTGCCCTCAAAAAGTTCCGAGGTCCATTCCATGCTGAGTCCGAGCTCTAGCAAGTTCAGGCCGCGAGTGGATGGGGGCTCCCATCCAGCCCCTCCGCACCGCTGGCCACCCCCCCCCACCAAGGCCCAGCCCAGGAACAGACCCCTCCACCACCCTATCACCCTCTTGTCTACTCCAAGTGGGTAGGGCGCCTGCCATCGTGGGGTCAAGAAGGACCTGCCACTGGTGTTGCCTTAAGAAATTAAACACAGCCAAGCTGTGGCTCGTGCTGTGGCCTGTGCCTGTCAACCCAGCACTTTGGAAGGCCGAAGCGAGAGGGCTGCCTGAGCCCAGGGGTTCGAGACCAATCTGGGCAACTTGGCGAGACGTTGTCTCTACAATAAACAAAATATGAGCCGAGCATGGTGGTGTGGGCCTCTGGTTCCAGCTACTTGGACAGATGAGGCGGAAGGGCAGCTTGCACCCAGCAGGCCGAAGCTACGGTGGCCATGAGCATGCCACTGCACTCTAGCCTGG